GCCACTCTCCCATGTCACGTTGTTCTGTCCTGCATTCCTGCCGTGAGTGCGTGAACCTTTTACTCTTCCCCGCACATCCAGGGTACGTGCACTCTGCGCCCCCCGTGTTGCTGCTACCGTCAGATGAAGTGTCAGCGTCAAACACAACCTTCTTCATATGGTTGCGATTGTTTGGGTTTCGCTCAGCGTAAGACGACCCCCGCTTGTGGGTGGAAGGCCCCCGACTGTGACTACGGCCGCGTTATGCGCTGGAGACATGGCTGTCCTCGTTGGCGTGCAATTGTTGTTCAAGCTGGGTGACCCGGTTGTCATCGACGCCGTTGTGAAAAGAGGGAATCGTCCTCGACAGACGTTGGGGATATTCTACGTTTCAGAAGGTGGTCTCCACAACATTGTGTTTTGTTTCGTTTCAGAAGGTGTGGTTCGGGAAACTACAAATAATACCATAAAACCGGTACAGCAGTAGTCTACGCTTGCTTGTGCCAGGCACTCGGAAGATATGAACAAACCCGGGTCAGACATGTGGGTGGTTCGAGGGATCTTTGGCTCGGTGACGGTCAATGCAACAGCAGAGAATCGAATGAGCAGCAATGAAAGCAGCCACGGTGTCCTCTCACAGAGCGGCCGAGGCTACACCCCGACTAAACACTCAACCGGAACTTTTCTGTGAAGGAAGCCACCCAATCATACCCTCACCCTCTCAAAGGCCTTGGCGATGATGCCTCCCATGGTTGAAGATCCACTAGCGATCGTAGCGACGTTGAGGAGGTCCTGAGACAGAGCAGGAGGAAGAGGAACAGGATCAGGAAGGAAGGCAGAATGAATGGTGGGCGTCGCATAGCGTCGGCACGCACACGTTACGTTAAATAGCAAGCGTGTTTGTTCGTGATGTTTATCACGCAACATTGTATGCATACAAGACTGACGTTTTTTCATTGGTCAGCTAGCTAGCCCAGGCCGTGCAAAAAAACAACACACACAGAAGGCCGATGGCAGGAAGGGTGTTCGCCATATTTTTAATCCGGTTGTGTATGATACGCTATTCCAATGGTCAGCCGATTTGCGCGGTCGATGCCTAACCGGACATGCATGCCTACTGAACAGGATACACGCACAAACGAGAAACTCTCATCCACTTTAGAAAGTGGTTCCTTTGCTTAGCCGTACTGAGACTGACGTCTCTTCATTGGTCAGCCGGTTAGCGCGGTCGATGCTAATAATGCAAACACACACACACCTCGTTCTTCCCGACGGGCACAGCCAACTTCTTGATCTCCTCGATGATCATGCCCGACGCAGCCAGGATGCCCTGCCGCAACTCCACCGGGTTGGCGCCCGAAGTCACGAGACGCATGCCCTGGTTTACGATCTCCTGGGTGAGGAGGGTCGATGTCGTCGTCCCGTCACCGGCCCTGGTACCGGTTCGCCGAAAAAAAAAAAAACACAGCAGTAGTGACGGACAACGATTCAGATGGTCGAGAGGAGTAGGTTGTCGCTGGAACTCATGTCCTGTTGCCCGACCAAGGGGATAATGTCACGTGATTTTCACGCAAGTCCCCCGACCAATGACGCCGCTTCGTCTGTGTAAGAACCGTTCCGTGGAACGATGCCAGCAGTCAGCTCAGCACCCACACGGACACCCACCAAACCGTACCACCCTGACACCTTGGAGTGGTATCGCTCGCGTATTATTAATAGTCACTTTCTGGTAGCTGTACTGTCTCGTTTGGACCAACGTTGCTGCCGCTGCTGCTGTGCCGTGCACACAAATCTTCCATGACTCTTGCGAAGGAATGCAAAAACTCACGCTACCCTCCTGGGACCGACCCACACCAGCACATCCAAACACTACCGCCCAAAGGTGGCACTCCACACGTACGTCTGAGAAGACGAGAATTCAACAAAAAATACACACACACACACAGAAAAAAAAAACAGGCCAAAACAGGCCAAAAGCAGAAAACAAGCGTTCAAGATACCGAAAAAAAAAATACTTGTACGCGTATCTGGTTTGGGTTTTCGTCCGTCCGACATTACCTGTTGTCCGACTTCTGCGCCACTTCCTGGACGAGCTTAACGCCCACGTTTTCCTCGTGGTTTTCGACCTCGATATCCCTGGCGATCGTGACACCGTCATTGACGATCTCGGGGGCGCCGTACGCCCGCTCGAGCACCACGTTCCTGCCTTTCGGCCCCAGGGTCACCTGGACGGGAACAGTCATCGACGTTTTAATATTTTTAAAACGAAATAAGCATATGATATATTGTTCCTTTTTGTTGTGTTGGGAGCAGGATAGAATATCGTTCCAAAGTAAATCAACTTTTAATTCGTACCAGAAATATCGTCCCGTTTTTTTGTCTTGGAGCATGATAAAATATCTTTTCAACAAGAAATACGAGTCGTAGTTCGTGCCAGATGTTTTTCGTTGCACGAAGGGGGGTATCGTTCCTCACAAAAAATGTGGTCTAGACTGCGTGTGATTGTTCAATGTCCAACCTTTTGTGATTGTGTGGGGGGCCATTCCTTGTCGCTAGACATCAGGCAGAGCCGACGACAAGCGGGACGGCAAGAACGTGCTAAATAATACTCCGTACTTTAATGGGGAACACCAACCGACACCTCAATGAGTTGGACGGCGGTGTGAATGCTGGGGTTTGTCCAGAGGAAAGCCTGGGTCAGCGATACCCGAAGGGAGCTATCGCCAGTAGAACGTGACCTTGATGATTTTGACCGCGTGGCGCGACGTAAGCTGAGGTTGTGTGGTGTCGTGTGCTGTGGTCGCCTTTCGTGTGGTGCATGGACCTCCGGTTCGTCGTCATATGTTGGCTGTTGGCGTTCCTTTTCGATCAACCTTCGTCCAGTATGCCTATCGTTTGTCATTACTATAATCTAGATAGACTACGCACATGCTCACGTTAGTCCACACCGTGAGACCGCCACTGGCACTGCAGCCTCAGCCGAACAAGATCGACTGGCTTGAGAATCCAAACTAAAGGTCACTATCATAACTACACCAAGCTTGTCAAAGGATCAACCCCGATTGACCCCGCCATACACATGGCACATACAAGTATGTCATATCTGAAGAACGGTGCAATCTTGAGGGTGTCAACGGCCTCTTGGCTCACAGCAACAAAAAACGCACCCAACCCGACCTGGGCTCTGTGTAGCCCCAAAAACCCAACCTGCGTATTGTAACGATTTGACAACATGCGGCATCATGTGCAATAATTGAGCAAGAGCAGTTCAAAAGAAGTTGAGACGCACCTTGACCGCGTCGGCAACCGCGTTGATGCCGTCCGCGAGCTTCTTGCGGGCATCTTCTCCAAATACCACCTGGACATACAGAGAGGGATTCACGTGCATGCATACATGAGGAGTCAAGACCATGGCGTCAGCACAACTTCAAACCTTCAAGCAGGCTTTATAACTTCCAAGTAGTCTTTTCGTCCTTTGCTCAGGGATGGCGTTGTTTGGTGACGAAGCAAACTCAAGGCAAAGCCCAAAAAAGGTGTGCTGTGTGAGCGAATGACATGTATTCATTCTTGGGGGAGCGCATGGACACCTATCTGTCGGTCCGACTTAAGGCGGCCAAGGTGTTGTTCGCAGCGGTTTGCGTGCGCAACTTGGCCCAGACTTGTTAACTCCAGCAGCCCAACCACGCCCACCTCGTACTGCTGTTCCAACCGCTGCTCGTCAATTCCATCTTCCCAATGCAATAATCGTCACACGAATGGGCGACGGAGAAATGAAGGCTGCATTAACCCTACCGCATCGTTCATCAGGAGAACGACTCGCGCATGCGAGTATGCGAGTGTGTGACCTCTTGCTTCTGGAACAGCAGTGCTTGTACAGTACATATCCCCCGCAAAAATACATTGTACTTGTACAACGGTCTGGCTACAAGTACAATATGTGTGTTCTAGACTGGTTACAACATGACTTTGAACAGAAACACGCAATTTTCGCCACCACGCAAGGAATACAGCAGTGGAGAGTAGCGAATCCGCCATGCACGCGAAAGCCAGCAGCACCACATTCACGAAAGCTTCAGAATATGTCTCAGCACAAGCGCTGCCTGGATGGACGCGGCATGCCACACAAACAGCCGTCGTCTCGGGGGCGTCCGTTGGTGTGAACAAAAAAAAAAAAAAACTGAGAAAACGATGAATTGCATACGTGTCAAAACGCGCTGGGAAACAGCCACCCGGATCAGCTGACAAGGAAAGGGTGGCGGCAACAATACCCGACTACTGTCCACGCAGGCGCTGCAGTCTATCTTTCGCGTCACGGCCATGCCGTTGTTACCTGCAGCAGTTTGTAGTAAAAGTACACGTGTGTGCCTCTCGGAAAAAGAGGGCGAGGACATGAGGGAGAACCACAAAACAGACAAGGTTGACGTTTGCGTGAACGAGCTTCAACTCGGGCGCAAAGGTAACTGCTGCTGTGTGTAAACGCGGCACAGGCCCAGCCCTAGCAAGCGGGGCAAGACGAAGGACAAACTGCAAGATATCAGCGCGCCTTAGTCCAGCCATCACACGGCGGTTGTTGTTGCACATGAAGGGAGACATGCAAATCATGCGGGCAGCCGTCCGCGACCGCACACACAACACCCCTTGGCGCCATCCGGCCCACCGTCTTAAAGCACACACGCATCCTGACCGCCAACTCTCCCACGCCAAGCCACAGCACAGGCTCTTACCGACTTCGCCCCCATAGACAACGCGGTGCCAGCGCGGCTCCGCCTCCCCGCTAGCGATGACACTGGCTGCTGCCCTCTGGCATGCTCGTTCCACGGCGCTGAGGCGCTTCGCGGCGCACTCAATCCTGCTCCCCCGTTGTTGGCGGTCACCGGCCCTACTACGGACACAAATGCGGACGCTGGTCGGCAGATGAACAGCAAGGCCCCGAGGAGCGCGATGTTGCGGCTCTCCATGTTCAACGCGATGGAGTAGCTCTCCGAAAGATTAGACAAAGCGTCGTGTGCGTTGCCGTACACGCGGCCAAGGCAGCATCACTTCGCAGGCAACTGTTTTCAGGGCGGTACCCACCAAAATATATTATCCCGTGTGCGCGCCCCCTACGCGGCAAGATCAAGATTGGCAAGATTGGTTTGGCAAGATCCTTTACTTTTTCTTTGCTTTTGGGATCGCTACATGCACGTATCACGTACAGCACACATACATATAGCGATTCTCGCAGCTCTCGCCGATACTTCAAAAATGAAGGATACTCGGTTGCATGACAGGTAGTCGATACTCATCTGGTGCGCACGACTGACCGTGAACCAAACCATGATCATGTTTTCAATCCGACTCCAGCCGATCGATCTTCTGTTCACAAATGAATGCCGGACAAAGTTGTTCCTTCTTTCACCACAATGACGCTCAGTGACCTGTCACATGGCTGAGTGGCTCTTTCTCTTGTGTCCGTTTCAGTGAATGCATTCTTGGTGCGGAATAGTCTACAACATGCCTGATTGTGCTATTCTTGGACTTGTGCGAAGCATTACTCTCCATCTGACTTTTTGCCAATTTGGAAATTTGTCACCCGGTTTAATGCCCTTTGAAGGAATTTAGAAAGCAGTTTTTCAAACTTTACAAGCACGGCATATCTCGGCTACATGCGGGTCGAGGAAAAGGGTACGTATGCGAAGTTTGAAGACTCGCTGAAAAGCCAACCTTACGAGAGGTGACGTTTTGCGAGCAAAATGCACACTCGCCGCCGCGGGATACAGCAGTATTTTGCTTTAACGTCACGACCGGAGCTGCAAATAAATAAATGACACGAATTTACATTCGTTCGATCTTGGGTGAGGTTCTCATGAAACAGAGAGCAGTGCCCACGGTGTTGTGCTCATCAAGTATCCGAGGATCCGAGGGCAGCAAAAAACGAGTAACGCAGATAGCGTGCAACACTTTCAGCAACAACACCGAGGGAAATCAAAACCGATACAAAGAAGCGGCGCACATAGAGGATACGGGCTGCGGCAGACATCACCGACTTCGCCTCCATGCAGTTGGACTCGTGGTGTTGGCCAGGCATTGCTGCTTTATCTCCCTTACAATCTCAGCACGCCCAGCCTAGCGGCAGCATCCACTGAAACCAATTCGACAAAAGCAGCAACCAACGGACACCGTGTCAAGTCAACCTCAATTCGTGCACATGTACATTCGCTACGCCCGACGACGGAAGAGCAACTCAGCCAAGACTCTAGTCAGCAGCAGCAGTACTGAGAGCGCCGAAAAACACCAGGGGTTAAAACGACCACCTTGCGAGCGTGCATTGCATTCGAAGCACGCCCTTTCTATAAACAAGGCGTCGTCGAGTGGGAATAGCGTACGGGAATCCAAATGGTCGACAGGATGCATGCAGGCTCGAGAAGCGCGCGCAATCTTTACAGGCCCCAAGCCATGGGACATTCTCAACCTAGGCAACCAAGTCCATCGAGCCGTCTTCTTCCTCGCCCAGGAACCATCGATCTTGCTGAACGGCAGTGGCATAGGAGGCCCGCGACAAGGAGGGAGTTGGTGGAGTAGAGGTAAGCACAACACACGGGCACGCGCAAGAGGACGTGCAGGAGGAGGGGCAGAGGGAGGGGACAAGAGGTGGAGTTTGGAGCCGAGAATATACAACAAGAGTCACATCAAGACGCATGGAGAACGAATCAAGAGTTCCATGTATGAAGGCAACTCTCAAAACTGACGAGCTCTAGCGGCACGTTCGTATCGAAATATTGGCTTCCATGTTTGCTGGAGAAGCCCGTGCCCAACATACCTAAAGCCGCCACCGACAAAGCTCGACACTTTTCTTTCTCCACGGCGCATCCACGCTCGTGGGAACCTAGGCTCGTGATGTTGCGCTAAGAGCGACTCAACGAGCCTACGGTCATGAAACCGTCGGAATTGTATTGTCACGGATTGTCCCTGGATTTCCTCATCAAGGCCCCGAAAAATATCACCTATTGTAGGTAAGTGGGGTGGTGTGCCACAGGCGGATGCTGCATGCACATCTCAGGCGTGGTACACCGTGCTTTTAGCAAACAGGACCAACACGGGATGGATCATGGTCCAAAACGCCTGGAAGTACAGCGGCAACACCAGCAACAGCAATGACAATGCCTGCGGCGAGCCCAAGCGCACCTCGTCCCTCGAGAGCTGGTCCAAGTCGTCCAGCCTCTCGTCCCCGTCCACACTCCTGTAGTCCACGCCCTGCTCCAACCCGGCCAGAAACCTCTCCGACAAAATTCGGGCGACCTCCTCTCGCCCCACCTCCTCTTCCTCCTCCTCTTCCTCCTCTTCGTGCATCCCGTCATCGCCATCCCCATCCCGGGCTCCATCATCCTCTACACCCGACCCCCCTCCGCCATCCGAACCCATTTCATCCGAAAACCGAACACGTCGGCCATCAACGTCGGCCTTCTTGCCATCGTCTTGGAGACCGATAGCTCCCACCGCCGCCGTCACCGCCGCTGCTCTAGCGTCCACGTCGTCCTCGCAGGCATGCCGCTCCCGGCCATCAGGCATCCCGGAAGCGATAGGGACTGCCGTCACTTCTGCCTGCGACGATGCCGCTTCTGGGACGTCGCTGGAATCTACGGTTTCCCCCGCCGCCACATCTCGAGCGCCAGCGTCTGCTACCGATGTATAACGAGGAGGCAAAGTTCCGGTGGGATACGCATCGACGACAAGGGTGGGCGGGCAACCTGGACCAACAATGCTTGCCAGAAACATATCAAGCATGCTTTCCTAATCGAGAGGAAGCAATGAGGCGTGTCCCGGGGGGGGGGGGGGTCACCACAAGCGCTCCAAGATTCGTGATCCACCGTACTTGGTCAAGATTGAGTTGTTGCTCTTCTCTTCGACAGACACGGGCGACACTATCAGTTCCAAACTCGGTGGTGATATAAATAGCTCTCGTATTGGCACCTGGTTCCACGCCAATGGCTGCTTCAAAACTGCGTATCAAACACAAACACCGCTGGAAGGACATTGGTACGCTCCCCAACTCTAGAGCTGGGGCTAGCAATTCACCACGCGTAGTGCTTGCTGCGATTGACACCCCCAAAACGACACTCCGAGCTACATAGCAGCAGTGTTCCTCCCAATTCCAGTCTGGACAAACTAGTTATGTCCGGTGAGGTACGGCCGTGGCGTACAGAATGCCCCCCGCCCCCCCCCGTCCTCATCGAACCCACCTGCGCATACGCCGGAGAGAAACGCCATCCCTAACGACGTACCAGCTCCCCTCGAACCACCGGCACCGGAACCAGCACCAGCGCCAGAAGTTGGCAAACCTGTGGGCCACCCCCCATTCGGTTGTTTCTGGGACAGGAAACCCAAGCTTTCCTGAAGATACGTGCCAACTGACGTGCTTCCGGGAACCTTTTCGCGCACGGCGGGGGGGTACAGCAGTATTCGGGAGCTAAGGATCATGAGTGACGTCATCACCACGCCCAGAGCGCATCACTTCGTGAACGCGGTGTTTCGGAAACGCGAGCAATGCTGATTTTGCCACCTCCTTCCTCGGCAATCAACTCGAAACTGGCGGCCGAATCAAATACACCGCCAGGACGCGCATGCAACGCCCATACATCAACATCTATCGTTGAGCAATGCCCATCGCCTTGTCCCTGTAGGGCCACTTGGGGGACAAACGAAACGGCCGAGAACATTTTCTTGCGGCGCGGCCAGCAGCAGCAAAAAAAACCTTACCTCTTCTACCGCTTGCTTTGGTGCCGGCTTCTCCTCCCCCGCATGTTTCCCCACGTACTCGAACCACAGCCAGGGGTCCCTCTCCTTCATCGCCTCGTCGCTGAACCAAACCCCTCCTTCTGCCAGCTGCTGCAGCCTCCTATATCGCCGATTGCGCACCCTAGCCCCGCCGCTGTTGTCTCCCCCGCCCCCGCCAACGATGCCACCGCGGCCACTGCCACCCATTCCCACGGCTGCTGCTACGGCGGGAGTCGTCGTTGTCGCTGTTGTTGGAGGCGACATGTCGACATCCTCTTCATCGGCTGAACGCGCAACCGCTGCTTGTTGCTGCTGTTGTTGGCGTTGCTGTTGGGACAGCATGAGTGTTTTCAGTCTTGCCACGTGGAGGGCTACAGCGGGGTCTTGAGAAGGGAGCAGAGACTCCAGGTCCCCTGGCGTAAGGATGTGCCCGAACCGACTGCACACCAGTTGAACGAGGAATGAGGATTGTTGTGCCGCAATTTCAGAGAAGGAAAAAACAGGGAAAACACGAAAAACGATACAACGCTCAACGAAAAGTGCCGACATACCCGGGCTAGCCCGACCCTTGCATATCTTTTCCAGGATTTCTCTCCTTCTATCCTGGTGAAGGCTCTTACTCCTGGCGGGCATTATCGCAAGAACTGGTGAGCTTCGTGGGCGAGCTGCCAGAGCCGTACCTACCAATGCCGAAACCTAGAGCAGCATGTCCACGGCTAATGAGGGGCATTGATTAAAGACACCAGCGAGCGAGATCGCACGTTACGTTGTGGCTTTGGAGACACCCTCGCCAGACGTGCCCGAAATTCAAACACCCCCATTGGCACCCGTTGCGTGTGCCTTGCTGCTGGTGCCATGTCTACGATGCGTATGTGTACCATAGGTGACATGATGTAAGATATCACACACCCGTGGATCGATTTCCAAAGATCGATTTCTCCACAGCAGGAAAAGCGGCAGCGCCGAGAACGGCGGCGTTGAAGCCGTCTCATCAAGAGCTTTCCAAAAACGTCGACCTTTTCATTTATCATCCTCTTCTTCATGGAGGAATCAAGCTTCTTTGAAGATCGGTCCCGGGGGTGTGGCATCTTGTGTCGTATACGTTTATGTGTTTCCTTCTTCGGAGGGGTACTAGATACCACGATGTAGATGCACCTTAAAAACTCTCCGGGTTGATGCAGCAGCAGCTTCAAGCACGCCTCCGCAGCCTCGGCAGAAGAAGACGTGGTCGCAGGAGGGAGCACGTTGCAGAATGGACTAGCAGCCACCTTGTCGGCAACCTCAAGCTGTGCCGGGGATGGCTGCTGACTTGACGGCGACCATGGTGGGGGCTGGACGGTGTCGTCTTCGGCTTGCTGGGTGACCTCGTCGGCGAGGGAGTCCATGTAGGCGTCAAGCGGGTCGATATCATCATCTCCGCTGGGGCCGTTAGTTGCAGATGACATGATGATGTCTGTCTTATCCCGCCGCGTTTCGTTGGCGTTTAGACAGCAGGAGAGCACCGACAGCAACAACTCTTGCTCTCCTTTGCGCTGCTCCTTCGCAGCACACCACCCTCGTAGGCGGGTCCAACTCTCAGCGAGATATGAAGCTCTAACGCGCTCGCCCCAAAACGCCTCGACTACTGCTGCCCGCTGTCAACAATGGCACACGGGGAGATCTGGGCTAGATATGATGGTATGATCCCCCGCACTCCTCGGCTGGTGGTGTATAGCACCTCCGGCATATACACCGCACAATAGCACTTCCACGAGAAAATCAGGTACAATAGCCAGTCTGCCTGGCTTGTGATATGCTCCGTCTTCTCCTGGAAGTTTTTAGACTGCTTACGGCCAGGGAGAGGACAACAACCGGCAACAAGTGCAGAAAGAGCTTTGGTAGACAAGGGGGTTCCGTGAGACATCCGGGGTACGTGACTGAACCTTACCGCCCGCCCGCGCTCGCAGGCACGCTGTGTTGCATTTCGAAGGTCGCGATTGACCTCTAATTCGCAGCACATGGCCGCTCTCAAGACGTGAGTGCGAACGAGAGGGTACAGGGGGGACTGTAATCGTTGTGCGTTTTCAAGCCTCGGTTTTTGTCTGACCTGCATGTTTTTAGTGCTATATAATCGGGAGGTTTGAGTCCTGCGTTTAAACTCGGATCCCGTCGTTGGTCGACAGCACCTTCCATAAACCACGACAACGCTACAACTGCATGTATGATACAAGTTCCGAAGTGGTTTGCTGGACACAGCTTGCCCTTCAGGCTTGTGGAAAGCTTTTTGAATGATTCGTTGGCGATCTTTGTTTGGGCAATGTCGAAAACCGTCAACCCAGCTCCCCGAACAAACCGCTTGTTGCTGCACTGGCGTGGAACAGCAGCAGCTTTCTCCTTTTGCTCCTTTTCCTCTCCCTCACCCCATCAGCTCTCTCTTGAAGGTATGCAGACGAATTGCTGAGCACTGCTGAGAATAGAACAGACCGAAGCTCCATTTGATCGGCAGTTATGCTTGTGTTTCCCACCAGTCTTGATGCATGAGTGTTGGGTCGTATATTGTCCGTTGCCCGCCAAGGCAACAAACCTCGTGGGCCGAACACATCGTCTGTAACTGCTTGCTGCCAGCTGTAAGCGCCTGAGACCAGACGACGCAATTCCTCCCTGTGCAGCTGTTTTGCGCTTGAGCAAGCTTGAGGCACCTTTGCTGCCGAAACGTTAGACTAGGCCCACTTTCGCGTACCACGTACAAGCACCTCTGCCACAGCAGCAGCAGTTTTATGTCACCCTATCCGCCCGTACAACGCAATTGTGAACATTCGCTGCCGTCCGTGAATCTTATCTTCTAGACTAATCTACTAGCTGTACCTTGGTCGCGTTGTTGCCGAACAGGCGTGCCTCGCCCCCGATAAGGTGCTGGGGTGCGTGGGCTACACCGCGAGCCGCGCTAGCCTTGCAGGAGCAGCATAGGGTCCGCGATAGATCGATAGCCAGAGTTCCCATCTGCCACTGTAACCGCCGGAACAGCAGTGGTAGTGGTAGCAGTGTTAGTGCTGGGGCGGGGACTTGTTTACCTCTACGTCGGAACGAAGCAGCAGCGTCCGCTTCAACAGGAGAGACGAGGGGCCGAGTGGGATGGGGCGGCAGCGGGCCCGTGGTGCTGGCAATGTCCACTGCCGCTTCGAGCGAGGGCAATGAGGTCAGTCTTGCTGCCACCCTGTTGTAGCCTTTTCATTCGGATTCGGAGCATGGAGCAAGTACAGTTGTAGGGACCAGACACAGGTGAAAAGCATCGATGACCAGCGTTTGCCATGTTGGCGAGAAGTGAGCGTTGAAGAGCAGCAAGGCGACATTAACCCCCCCGAAAATTTGTTGGTTGGGAGCAACTTGCATGGAATTGTTTGCATGAGTGAATTGCTCTCGTGCCCTGTTGTTGCCAAGACATGTGCATACAGCTAAACGAGTACCTGGTAGTGGCGATTGTACCTCACACCACATCCAGCAACGCGTACGAGCACGACTTGTATGTATCGTGGGAGGTATTCAGTACTTGTGTTGAGACACGCAAGAAAATGCGCCACGAAAATAGTTTGGTGAAGCACGAGATTTGCAACACCGCGCTAAATAGAGCAGAAATGCAACGACTTTTTCACAGCGGCGGCCGTGACTGTTACGTTCTTGCCATATCCACGGTTATTGTTCAAGACACGCCATGCAATGACGTTGTAGTTTGAAGACCGATTTTTTCGCCGGCCTTTCTCCCACCGAAAACAACAACGACGGACAGGGCCACGGCGACGTGTGGAGAGATTCGGCACTCAGATACGCCGGGTACGCCAACGAGGTCGGGGAGTCGTTCCGCAATATCGCACCCAGGCTGGTCGTACCGTCATGTAAGTCCACCGTCCGTCCATATGTCCACGCCCGAGACTCTAGGCCGTAGGTTCACTTGGTTGACTTCTGTTATTATTAGTCGTTTCGTCCCAACGCCTCGTGCCATGGGGGTCCCCATGTAAGGCGGTGGGGGGGGGGCAGCTGATGATGACCGCCTTACTATTGACAGCCGCCTCATTCAGTGTGTAGGTTAACTTGATTATTCTGTCTTTGCCAGTCAATTTCACCCGCGAAATGTAGGGCGACCGCCTTACTCAGACCGCTTATTCGGGAACCTCCACACTGTGGACATTTTTCCTTCGATCCCTGGTGCCCTCGTCCGCCCCCCATTGATGCTAGTGCTAATGCATGGCAGGGTATCAAGGAAGCCTGAACCGACAGCGTGTTCGATGCCCATGTTGCCATTCCTAGGCGTGAAGTAAGCTCTGTCTGCCAGATTTCATCTCTCAGATACATCCGCGGTGCCCATATCTAGGATTCGGGTGCCCCAGTTTCCTTGAGCGCCGAAGGTGGAACTGCAGCAATGGACTTGAGCGATGCTGTCAAACGGCTGTCCGCGTTTGAAGTGAGGTTGGCAGGATATTTGCACAGCAGCAGCAGCAGCAGCATGACGTACTGGTGCGCGCATCAGGACGAAGCAAGCGAAGAAAAACCACAGCGACGTTCCTCCTCTGTCCGCTTGCCTCTCAGACGCTGTCAGCATTGCCTACGTCTGCGGAGACACAGTTGACAAGGCTTACAAGGACTACACGAACGGGAAAGGCATGGTGACCGTGGGAAAGACGGGCCTCGACGTTCTGCTATGGCAGTCGCTCGCGAGCGTTGCTGTGCCGGGCTTGACCATCAACATTGCGGTCAGTTACAGCTGTATTTTCTGCGTAGCACGGGCTTGCTTTGTGATCGACTCGCTGAGGGAGAAGTGCAACAGTCCTGACGGCAGTCAACACCTTGATCGATGAGAGCTACAGCGCGCACATCCCAGACACCATTGATGCCCTCACCCCCCCGTCAGCAACCTTGGCAGGGTTGTTCGATTAATTAAACATGTTGGATAAAGCATGCAATCGGGGAAGTTGAGTTAGGGATAGGGTCTGCGTACCACCTTCCTGTTCTATTCCCTCATCAAATTTTCTCGCGAAGGCGCCCCCCCCCCCCGTAGCTACTGCGGCGTGCCCCCCGTGTGTGTTGTGGTTGTTGTTGGGGCTGCTGTTCATGAGGCTTTTGTTGTTGTTGTTGCTGTTGTTGTTGTTGTCGTTGCTGCTGACTCTACCGTGTTCGTCTGTGGTTGGTTGCGAGGGCTCATGGACGACACTTGTTCGTCTCCTGTCTCTTTCTTCGTCTCGGGTCATTTTCGTGGAGTAAACTGGTAGCCGCTGAATACGTCATGAGTGTTTCTAGCTGGTCGTTCTTGATTAGTTCGTGCGCCCGTACAATTCAACTTCAGACCGATGCGCACATTGATGGTCGTCACCGCATTCTCAACGATTTAGCATTCGGGCGCCCTCTGTTCCTCCACCACTTCAATGCGTGCCCGATGGAAACAAACGTGTTCATCATCGCATTGAAGCCAGCGAAAATTTATCCGACAAACCCGGGGCGATCGGCTTGTTTGCTATACTCGTGTTCCTCCGATCATTTCGTACAGTGGTGTCGAAGAAAGTTTTTTTCGTGCCCTCCTTCCTGTGTCGTGTGTTGCTCTTTTTCGCGTCGGTCGATCGTGAGGGCAACAAAACTGCAGGGTGTATGTGTGTGTGTTCGTCCTACTTATTATGGCGAGGTGGACAACAAACAAAATAACAATGCACCTATGTTCTCGTAGTGGGGATAGCAATCTTGAAAGCCCCCTCCCAAAAAGTCTTGAATCCAGCAGCCTCTTTCTTCTAGAAAACTATTGCATGTAATAGTCATGTTATTTGACCACGGACTCAGAAAAATATTTTTTTTTCTTTTGTTTCTCGACAATCACTCGTTGCGGCTTCTTGGGTGAGTCCTACCTCAAGGGTGTACAAATAGGGTTTGTGGGTTCCCTGCCCTGTTGCTTTCTGCTCCGTCCGTTTGTGCGTTTTTTCTTAATTGGCATGGACCGCGCTAGCCGGCTGACCAATGAAAAAAGTCAGTCTCAGCGCACCACCTGGCTGAGCGCCTGACCTACCACAAGACGCCAGTTCTTCTGACGCCATGTTAATATGCATCTTTCCGCCGAACCGCTCTCCTTTACAGGTAAAGGCGGCGAGTGCTGCGATGGCCAGCGATCACACGAAGAGCCTCTTGCCAAAGCTGGCGAGAAAGTGGGTGCCTACCGCTGTGGGGTTGGGAATAATCCCCTTCATTGTTACCCCTATCGATGACGCCATATCGTGGGGAATGGACAAAACCGTTCGAACGTGGCTCGCTTAAACAAGAGACCATGTAGTTTAACTCATTTGGTTGTAACCCTGGAACTGCAGCTAGTTTTGATAGCTGCCTTCCATGCTGCACTCTGTCTGGATAGGGTTCCTCACCCACAGCGCTCTCACATGTGCCTCGAGTGTTCTCTTTAAATTCGGCCTCCCCAAGTAGTCTGTTGGTGTTGTCAGGTGTGCAGTAATGTTCTGATAGGTCCCTTGATCCTGTTTGTTAGTTTCTTGTCCGAGGATAAATAGTGTATGGGCTCGGGAAAATATGGTGTAAATCGTTGGGTACCACCCACTGACGCGGATCGCTTGCAAGACAACTTGACGCTGCATGATCTATATTTGGCGGATTGAGTACCGTGCAATCGCGCTGTGGGCGGCGGGGGGCATGGCTTGGGATCTGGCGAGGACTCTAGGTTGTGTAGCGCCGACAATGCCGTTGCTGCCACGAACATTGATATGTATGTAGCATCAGAGGCAGTTCGGGGTTGAAGGACCTCATGATCTACAGCAGTGCTTGACTCAGCATGTTTTGTGAGCTGCGGACGAATGCATCTGTCTTAGGCCTCTGGTTGGCACGTGCCGCATGAGCACAAGCAAGATATGCTGCGGGAGGAAGGGTCCACCGCCCGTTCGCTTATTTATAAAGCAAAGCGAGATCGACCGGTTTCCTCCCGCTCAAGGTTTTGAGTCATGAGTACTACTAAAGGGAGCACATGTTGAGACTCACAGAGCATCTACCAATTGCAGCCATCCATCATGTCCAGCCAGAAAAAAAAGATAGCTTACAAACCAATTGCATTTTCTTGGTTACCTTGGCGTACAAACGGCGGAACACCAGCCGACCCATTTGGTCAATAGCAAACATGCTCATACACCTGCCCGAGCGTTTGGAAAAAAACTTCTTTGCCGAGTTCGATCGCTGGCAACGCGTCACAGTAGCCACAGGCCGGACACACCTACGGCAACTGAGTAGTTTCATAAAAACGCAAAAAACGCAAAGACGCAGAATAACTTGAGCCTGCAACACCATAAGCCCGCCGAGCCTTCTAGCACCACAACACGCTTCTGATATACTCGTGGTCGAATATCCAAACATATGCCGCCGCGACGCGCGGGGTACTTCGGAGAAATAAAACCACAACAACTGCTGTTGTCGAAGTGTTTCCACGTACACTTTCGGTAAATATTGTTTGCTTGCAAGCGGCGTGCTTGCACAATGCGAGGTTGAGACTACGTAGGCTACATATTGACACAAAAGATAGGCCCAACACTCCCTCCAGCTGATTCGTCCCCCCAACAGAGAGCTTATCCTAAACAAGAGCGCCGTTGAGCCCATAAAAAAATGCCAATTGAGGTCTTTTCTCATGCCCTACACCTCGGCAAGTTAAAATGTGCCTTGATCCTGCCGACAACAACATCAAGGGCGACACCTCCCTCCTTGGTGTCCTCTTCCTCCAGTTGTCCTGAAAATCGTCACCTGATAGTAGTGCGTCGTGTTTAATCCCCGTCGCGTGCCCCCCTGTCCCTCTTCTCTATCGTCCTTCGTCCATCCAGGGCTTGCTGCTGTGCTTCGGCCACTAAGATAGACGCCTACTTGCAAGGTAGACAAGACACGCAACAACGACTCTCCCTCCCTCTCTCTCCCTCCCTCTCTCCGCGCCATTCCTCTCCTCCTGGTGCGCATTCGCAAACAGCTGGTGTCTACAGGAACCCCCTCCCCCTCCCTACCTCGTATCTACCTCGAACAGCATACAATCTAGGTATATATGTAGTCCATGGCATGTCGTTCCAACCACCACACACCGCACACTCCTGGTTGTATCTAGCCTGACGACATGGAGGCCACAGCGCAAACCGGCCGCTCACAGAGCGATCGCTACCACCAATCAATCCTCTCGGTTTCGAGGGGCGAAGCGCCCATCCATCCATCCAATCACCACAGACCAAGGGGGAACGGCTCCCGACCCAACGCTACTACCACAGCACTACCCCAAAGCCACACGTACATACATCGAATATATAATCTCAGAAAAGCGGGACCAGCACTAGTCTACTCCCTGCAGATCACATGTGTTGTTACTATTGGAACAAACCGCGAAAAGTGCTTCTCAACACGCTCGCTGCCAGGAAGAAAGCGTATGTAGCAACGGCAGCCGGGCCACCAACAGTTTCTGCATGGCGATACACATCACGCTCTGGTGCAGCAACAGCTGCAGCTGCTTTGCAAGGCAAAACCCCGAACGATACGCGCAAATCGCCCCCATTCCCTTCCTATTTCTGACTTGCATCAGTGAAATCCTCTTTTTCACTGTTTGACTTTTGACATTCGACTTTCATTTCATTTTTTTTTTTCCGGGTACGATAGTACGTACGCCAACAACACGCGAGCACAAAAACGTCAAGAATGAAAGAATGAATGTGATATCATCCATGATCCATGGGCATGTGCCAACCAAAACCAACAAATCACGACATAAATGTCAACTATCGACCCACTCCCTTTGTCGATGACATGCCAAGGCCTTGGACCTTCTTGTCGATTCCACCGGATGCCACGCCCGCTCCCTAGGGAAAACAAACACGAGCAGCTCATCATCTCATCCCCTCCGTGCCAAATGCCCCGATACCAACTCCCGTACCTCCATCTCCCTAAGAACTACTCCCCCCCCCTTTCATCCACCGTCCAACCAATGGATGCAATGCGGATGGACCCAAACAAAAATCTATGGTGCGACCCAGCTGGACTCGTCTCGCCATTCGAACGCACCGCGAGACTCCCTCCAGCCAGTGCATGTCCTAAAGTTCGTTACTTCGTGTTTTGCCCAGGCTACACCACAGCGTAGCAGCAGAGCGACGTTTAGTGAATAATATGTTCAATGAGTGAAAATCCAACGAGTGAAGACCAACATGAAAATGAAACTCTTCTTTTCTTGCTATATGATACCGACCGGTAGTAACGAATGAATACTTATTTATTATATGACAATATGGTACAGGTATGCAGTATGTCGTGATCGATAGTATGCTCATCACCCGAAAATCCGACCACGTTTTCTTGCTCTAGCAGCAGCAGCAGCAGCAGCAGCAGCAGCAGCGAGTACGTAGGTTAAGTGGTGAAAAAGCGCCTAGTGATGGAGACCAATGTCGCACCCACCCGTACCCCGTCGCCCCTCGTTTTCAGCCCAACAAAACGGGAGACGACGGGACACACACACAACACAAACACACGTCAAACTTCCGAAAGCACGATTCAAAGGAGAACCCGAACCATCTACTACCTGCTACGCATGCAGTGCTGTCTTCCGTGAACCGCACCCGCCACGCGCACCCTTGACGACCCCGCCTATGTGCGGAGACCCCACAAAAACCAAAAACCAAAAACCAAAACAAAACATGATAACATGGAAATGAATAGTAAACCATCCTTCCCATGTGACTACAACAACACCCAAAGCCTAGTAATGGACGGTGAAGTTTGTCTATCACCGTTGAAAGATGGTCCGTACAAAACCAAACATGTGCAAAAGATACAGAAGAAAAAAAATGCCACCAGCTTATTGTATATATTTATGTGACAGGGAGAGGGTGCCCACGCATCTATCCCCTGGCTTCACTACTAGCCACACAGCCAAAAAACAAAACAAAAACAGAAAAAAAAAAAAAGTTAAGCAGCGAAAGACACACCCTACCCCCGGATACCAGTGGGGACCACACCTCCACCGCCAGCGCACACGTTTCACAAGAAAACAACGACAAAGCCACAGAGGACGCCCGGCCAGCCGGGCGCTCTCGCATGCGAGCAACAAAAACGTACCAGTACTCGCGCCCGCACCCGCACCCGCACGCGAGCACCAGCAGAGGAGACGTTCTTGTCTCCGCCCCTGTCGGCACTCCTTCTAATCGCAACATCATCTTCGCCGCGACCAACACACCCCTGGCTCTATGACGAAAGAGGTGACCCCGGGCTGACGAGAAGAAGGAGCGTATCCCACCACGCAACCAGTCATCCGAGCCCCCATCTCCGGCCAGATCGTTTTCGTTTTCGCCTCGAAAACTTCCGGGCCCACCCACACGGCTCTTGGGGGGTGCAACAAGTTTGCCGACATTATCGCAGCAGGGCGGAGCATAAGGCCGCCCCCCTCCCCCCTGTTCAAGATCTAAACAAGGTTTGTCCGAACAAACAAGAAACCATGTACTAGTCTTGCCAAGTGCGCGGTTCCTTGCCGAGGGTCTCTGCCCGGGAAGGAAAAGAAGGGGGGAGTCGTGCGATATGTCGTTGCCTTCCCCCGCCGCGTACCCACCCCTGCTCGCTCACGGCCAACCACACAACACACGCCCACAAAACACAGAACACACTTGCACTTGATTCACCTACTCACAGATTGCGCACTTGGTTTTTTTCCGTGGGCAATGCCGAGAGAAGAAAGAACCCGCCAGCTTCTCTCTATTTTCCACCACGACCAGACACACGTTTTCGCCCAAGCGCCCCGAGCCTGCTAAACCAAACGACGCACAAAATCACTACTTTCCCCACCAATAAATCACGCCCCTGTCACCACGGATCTACTCCGCAAAATCTCTCTGCGACCTGTCTCGGACAAACGGCAACAACCTGAGCGTGCCTAGAGCACGGAATGAACCCGGCACGACTACTCCTACTATAAAAAACATACCAGCTCTTCTTCTTGTCTCAAGGGGCAGGGTCCCCTTGCTAAAGGCTGCGGTTCTTGTCAAGGTGGCGCGCGGGGGGGGGGGGATTTTCTCCCACCCCCTGTTGTCCTCTTTTGGCACCACCAACGACAAGTTTCCTGCTCGCCCCGAACACGTAAAGGGAACTCCAATGCAGAGAGAGGACCCACCGAACACGACTCAGATAAAAAGTCCAATGCAGCAAGCAGCGCTATTGCCATCTCATGTTGCTTCCGGTTGTTCAATAGAAAGGCGGCAGGTGCTGCTGCTGCTGCTGTTGCTGCTGCGGCTGCTGCTGCTGACGTTGCCGCTGCATCAGCCCCTGCTGTTGTGAGTAGTACTGCTGCTGCTGCTGCATGCCCTGCTGCTGCTGCTGCACCTGACGGAATTCGTTCTGTGCGGCCTGACTGCACAAGCCGTGAACCATCAGCTGGGCGCTAGCCACGGCACGCTGGGTGCCGGATATCGTGACCGGTCTGTTTTGAGGGGTTCGCAAACATTGCGCCGAAACGGTGGGCAGCGGCCGAAGGGTTATATTCATTGGGCGTACTTATTGTTCAGTATTGCGGCAGGCTGCGGGGAAACACTCCGAGGCCTGCAAAACTATCGTGGAATATGTCCTCAACTCACTAGAGGTAACTTAACCCCTCACGCCTCACCTATTTGTCGTGCCCGGGATGTACTCGCCCCGCTGGCTAACCTGGATGCGGGCACCGGTCTGGTTCTGCATGTCGATGACCGTGGCGCCTCCCTTGCCGAGGATGACACCCACCAGGTGATCCGGGATGGCCACCTGCCCAACAATCCAGTCGTTTTTTATTTCCATTCACTGTGAAGACTGACTCTCAACACATCCCCTTCGACTAGTTGTGATTATATCTTGAGTGAGTAAGTATTTCTTTGATCGTATATATGCATAAGTATTTCTATTGAACCGCCATTGGCACTTCCTGGTGGTGGTGTTGCTGCTACTGCTGCTGCTGCTGCTCCTGTCTTCATCGTCTTCACTTCTGATGGTGATCCATATTTTTTCACTCGCAGCACCCGGCAGTCTGAAATCCCAATTCATACTATGAGTGCAGGAGCCCTTTCTCGCGAAACACGTGGATATCGATACATCCGGCTCGCTCCCGACACTTTCTTTCCAAACGAAATTGGCGTGACAACTCAACAGCCGGCATTGATCCTTTCGCCGCGTAGCAAAAATTGTTCTTCTAACGAGCCGCGTACGGCCGCCGCCTAGTGGCATGCCAAAAAAACGTACAATCAAATCAGACTGACGTAATTCATTGCTCGCCAGCCGGTTGTAGAGCGGCCATCGACTCTAAACAAAGAAAAACACACGCACGCAGACTCGAATTCAAAACACTACTTCCTTGTAATAACTTCAAGGCTGATGTCTTTAGGGTCAAGCGTGTGGCCAGTGATCAAGACATCAAACCGAAGAGCGTGCCGACACACCTACCTGCATCTGAGACACCATGTCCCCTGAGTCCATGACTACCTCTGGAGCATGGCCTTGCTGCAATCCCGCGGTCGTGGGCTGAGGGGTTTCCACGGGCATGGCGTTTGCGTTGTGTGTGCGGGCACAAAAGCGCGCACGGAGTTTCTCTCAGCAGGGCGGGCGTGGGCACCAACGTTGTGGGGGAACGGGGTCAAAACTGAATAGACAGCTTGGGAGCAGTGTTTTACGCTTCTTACCTTACGTACGTCAATTTCGCCTTCTTCGCTGACGAACAGATGGGGCCGCGTCGCTGCAAAAAAAAAAACGGTGTCCGATACCATCGAGATACAACACCGAAACTTTTCAGCTCCTAGCCGAAAGGTAAGCTACGCATAGCGCTAATTTTTCTAGAAAAGGTAGCACGTACGAGTAAGCAAATAGACGTTGTGTCCTTGCCTGCTCACCCTAAACCTACTTCAACAGGGTTCGCGCGGCAGAAGGCCCCCTGCACAACAACTGATTGATTGGCTTACGTACCCGAGACCGCAGGCTCTTACCACGATTGCAACCTCGCCACCGTAAGGGGAAGGGTACATGGACGCCATCCCGGTGCCCATCATGCTCCCTTGGGCGAAGCCTTGAGGCGGCATCCCTGAAAGTTCCGGGGGTTGCGTGAGACAACCGCGCGTGGGGACGGGGGGGGGGGTATGTATCAATGCAATCGTCTCGGTCGACATCATCCAAAACTACTGTGGGCCGACCGCCGCGAGGAGGTGTAACAACAATGTCAGAAAGACAAACATCGAAAAATAAAAACATGAAATATACAAACCAACAGTGAATACGTTTACGAAGTATATTCCCACAAAATGCGTCCGGCTAAAGGACTTGATTTTTCATTGTTCGAATGGTGTTTTCCCCTCTGATGTAACCGACAACGCGCTTTGCTAGCGGTTTTAGTCCCAACCAGAGCTCGATTTTGACTCTTGATTTTGATGTTTTCGAACCTCGCTTTTATGTATCGGGCGTGAAGTCCCTCCTATTAAAATAGCAATAAAAAAACAATTCCTACCCGTGTAAGGGTTGTAACCGTACACCATGCCGGTGGCCAGCATCCCCTGGGTAGCTCCCGGTGCCAGCGCCGTTTGTTGCTGTTGCTGCTGCTGTTGCTGCTGCTGCTGCGGAACCCCTATGCCGACACCGACACCAGCCGAAGCGATGCCCGGAGCGACTACCCCTGTGTTGGTGGATGAGGGGGGTCCCATGACGTGACCTTGACCAGCGGCACCTGTCAGGTCGTCGGGTGATGTTGGTACGAGACAGATACCGCTTAAGAAGGTGGTGTGACAAAGGCCCTCGACCCTCTTATATCGGAATGACAGGGTGCCCAACCAGCTGTGGCGAGTCAAGTCCGTGACAGCTTATTTCGACCGTAGGGTTGCTCATGCGGCTACTCTTTCTGCCTATCTTGGTCAAAATATCGCCGCGTTTCAGCTTGAAATCGCTACAGGCCTTGCGCGCATACATTCGTTGTTTTCTGTTGTTGCTATAGCGCCCCGCTCGTCTCACGCGTGCATTATCGCCCGACAATCCTCCAACACTCCAGCACCATGCGAACCCGCGCTTCACCTGCAACCATCGGGCCACCCAGCCCCGAATCCGGCACCCTCACGCCCATCGCGGCACTCTGGGCCGCCTGCTGCCCCGGGGAACCTCCCCCCCGCTTCTGCTGCGGCGAGAGGAGGGGACCTCCCCCCCCAAACCCGGGTGCGGCGCCCCCCACGTCGCCCACCCCACGGTTCAACCCCTGACGACCACCACTACCACCCCACTGGGGTTGCTGCTGATGTTGGTGGGCGAACGGGTTGTTGCCAGCGGCGGCCATGGCGGGGTGCTGGAAATGGTACTGACCGCCGTCAATGGATCCGTCTCCTCCCATCACCGGAGCCCCCGACGACAGTCCCGTCTGGTAGCATGTCTGGTTGCTCTGGAAATAGAGCGAAGAGATTAAGGGAATAATTTTCGATGTGTGAGGGGGGAGCTCGATGCGACGCCGGTTCTTGAGGCGGTCGGTTGAGACGACCCCAAAGTCTTGGAATTTACACCCAACGGTGGGCGATGGGGGTTGGATTCAAGTTCTTCGCCTTGGTTTCTGCGCCTTCGAACGGCCTTGCCACGCTTAGCTCGGGACCGACCGCGCCCTTAGGCTCGCTAGGCATTCATTCGCAGGCGACACCTCGGCACACAGAACTTGATCGACATTTGAGGACTTGAAACGTCACCGTCTTTTCTATGACGAAATTCTCGAGGGTAGGGTTATCCTAGGGTGACAACCGAGAACAGAGAGAGTCAGCTCGTGCCTGGTACTTGGAGAGTCCCCGATCCTCTGCCATCTTGCCCACGATCAAGAAGACTACCTTGATGGCCCCCTCCAGGTCGGCCTTCGAAAAAAAAGCCAGACAGCCATCAACGCGTTTGTTTACGAAAATAGGAAGACGTGGGGAATATTTTAGGATGGGCAGCGGGGGTAATGAAGAAACCAAGGCGGTGGATTTGCAACGTTGGCCCTGAGAGATAGCCGTTGTACAGCAGTATTCTCAAACCACGAGAAAGGAGAGCATACAATGTTCTCTCCACACTCGAAACTAACTCACACCCAGCGTGGTGTTTAGTGTTTTGCTGAACAGTTGATATAGGATAGACAAAGGTATTGCGGAATGTCGAGATTCTGTGTAGTGCGTGTATGTCTGAAACGCGAAAGCGCTAAGGGGCGGGACGGGCGGGTGTGGGTGTGTGCGAACGGGCTTGGCGACATATTATCTGCCGTCACCAAAATGATCGACGAAGAACGGCCGGTTCGATCGCAAATAGTTTCCTAAACGACATACATACTCTGTACAATTGCCCCGAAACGACACTTACTTACTTGCATTTGACTGCGTGAGGGGGAGACAGAGGCACTTCGAAATCGTCTGCTTCTCGACACAAGCAAGCCTGTTCTAGATGGAAGCCATGTAGGCATGTCAACGTACGTACAGTGAATGAACCACACAAGGGATTCAACGGCTCACTGCGCCACACGCTTAACGAAGCGATTCAAAGATGATGCATGACATGATGATGAGTGTGGCGCTTTTACACCTTACTTAGTAGGCATGCCGTCGCATAAGGCGTGAAGTGTGTGTCGCATGGAGGGAGATATTTTGATTTTCCACGATCGGACGTACGTACGTGAAGACGATGTCCTGTTTCGTGATGCGAGGAGAGGATTTCCCAGCAGAGAGAGAGAGAGAGAGAGAGAGAGAGAGAGAGAGAGACGTTGGCATGGGAACGGCGGAACATGTAGATTATTCAGTCCAGAAAAAAATGTGTCGGAACACGGTGCTTCACGTTCGCTGTATGTATGCCCTGTGCGGCTTACACCGATACACGCGAGAAGATTGGTTGTTGCAGAGAATAAAAAAAACAAACACAGAAAAATGACAAACCATGAATTTATTTCGAGTTCCCAATTGGGAAAGACGTGAGACAGACGACGATTTGTCACGGTCCACCAAGACGACAACGGAAAGTATCAAACTATCTCTCAGCGGGAAAAAGTAAAGATGACCTTTCATTACTTTCATTACATGAAACGCCAGCTGTCGACACAACGCACACCGAGTCGATCAAACTATCAAACCACATGTATGTCGGAATTTTCAACACAGTTGATTGACTGATAACTATGAATTCATTACCCGCATATATATCCCCAGCCAGCCAACCATTCCACCCTCCTCCAATATACATGGTTGCCGGTCCATCTCGCAGGCAACAATAGTAATTCCACCTCTGAAAATAACCATTCGGGATCAAACGGATGACTGACTGCGGACTTTTTGTACTGTGCGCGCGCATGGTTGACTATCTGAAAAAAGAAAAATGTTATTGGATTTGGTTTTTTACTTGTGCTGTAATCGTGAGAACGACATAATGCATGCGCCACCACAAGGGTGCTAACGACGCAACGTTGTATGCATGGCCCAAGCTATAACCCGCGAATGGGGCCAAGAGCGACGGCTTAGACGATATAGTCTTTTCTTGGCATGTTTTTTTTTAAATCTAACATGACTAGTCTACACGTTCTCCGAGTGGTTTGTACCACCCTATTTTTGTTTCCCCGCGGCGTCGTATGTATATGCCGGGTTTTTGCGATCACGGGCTTCCCATTCTTGTAGACTTAGAGCTAATGTGAGAAACAACAACAACAACCACAACATACAGTACATGTTGTGCGGGCCGATGCCAGAGGCTCCGATGATTCACAGGCGGCGGCAGGCATTTTTTTTTTTTTTGTTCTTCACTTCAAATCAGCGCTCACAGCACCAGTGCCGTTTACTCCGACCCGTGGTCACACAGAAGAGTCCCTCTCTACCCTCCCCTCCTGCGGTACTTTGCCTACGATTTTTAATGCGAGAAGAGTTCAGCACTGCCTTCCCTCTGTGTACACACGAACTAGCGCTATCCACTCGGCCAGGAGCGGAGGCGAGAGAAAAACTCACTTTGCAAGAAAAGCTCGCTTACGCCGGGATTCGAACCCCTGACCTGACCTCTAGAAGGTTTCGCGGATACCAACTAGACCACCGGGGCGACCGGCATGAAATGTGCTGTAAGTACGGGTCTTACGCAAATTTTTCCCCAGGTGCCCGGACCACAGACAGACGCTAGGAATAACTCAACACTTTCGACGTTGTGTGTATACTGCCACCAACACACCAGATGCACCCGAGTATCATCTGGGTCTCGGGGTGTGGTTGTCTTGTCTTGTTCATGAATCTCCGCAAATACAATTTTTTACATCATCTATTCCCATGCATACCGGCATCACATACATGCCTACTTTGTACAGTAAATTCAACCAACAGCAGCAGCAGCAGCAACAGCAGCAGCAGCAGCAGCAGCAGCAATGCGTAAGCAGCTCGTATCACTGTGTACTCTACTTTCATGGCTGGGCAACCCACAAGTGCGCATCGGAAGAGCACCGTAGTGACATGTTTGCGAAGAGCTGATTCTGGTTTGGCCTTCAACTAACTCCGAAGCAGCAGAAAGTCACCTCTCTCTGCTATTTTATTATTTTGCTATTCGTATGCGTACCATGTTGTTTACTTAAAGTATGTGTTAATGTTGGTGTCTCCGTTCCGGTCCGCTCGTCACTAATTTCCGTCATGTGCTGGACGTTGTTTACATGAAATCATAGATAATGCCGTCACGCATGTGGCCGTTTAGTCCTCTTCCTTTTAGTTGCTGATGTGCACATTCAGGCGTTTAATACTTAAAACCGCACGCATTGAGGAACTCACGTGTCGCCTGCAGCTCTACCAATCTAACCTACGCTCTCAGCCATCGAACTGAAGGTCGCTACTACTATTGCACCATTGCACGCTACATTGCAGTTTGCTCAATTACCCCATGTTTGTCTCATGAAGCCCAACGGGGTATCTCAGGGGGCTCTCCGCCAGCAAGAAAATGCTCCATAGAGAATAATAACCATGGCAGTTGGACCTGCGTATATAAGACTCGAAGGTACTTTGCAAAATTGGCCAACAGGTAAGTGCCGATTATCGGTTGTCTCCGATATTCACAAAAAAAGAGTGGTCGATATTCCGATTATCGATTTGGCCAAATACCGTAAGGAAGGGCGACACAAGATATCACACACCCTTGTTTACACGCGTGTGGTGGAGGGCCGCCGTACGTATATCATCTGGTAGGGGTGGTTGTGGGGCCCCGGTTTTGGAAAGATCGGCACAGGAATCGGTGATATAATCGCCGATTTCGATTTCGATTCAGAATCAGCATCGGGAAAATAGTTCAGCGATTTCGATTTTGAGAGTGGCGGATATATCGAGATCGAATGTGGCAATGCGATGTACGATCCCCGTCACTGGCAACAGCGAATGACAACCAATTCTTCTCTACACCAGTGGACAACAGATATTTCCCGCCTGCGTGCAGTCTCCACTCGCCCTCTATCCTCCTGTTGCTGACGTCATGCATGGTCTGCAGGCTGGGGGGCGCATCATCTGCACTCCGCCGCATGATGATGCTGGCGCCACGCACGCCAGTGTGTGGGTGAGACGGAACGAAAGATCGAGAGGCATCTACACTACACCATACCCTACACACAAGACAGACGCCCCTGGCGCCTGCAAGCTAGCCGCGACCCATCAGGTGTTTCTAGAGCAATTGGGCCTAGGTAAGTCTAGCCTTTGTGACACCAACTATTTCTCGGAAGCTCTCAATTCTGCCCACCTCTCTTCGTAAGACTACGACTATGTATGCAAGTACTGGTGTAGGATGAGCTCAACTTTGGGATGCTTCCAAGCGGGGAAAACAAAGACATTGGTGTTGGATATGTTGCAACTACCGTATTTGTATCCATGTCAAGGCCAAATCTGAGCAAATAGATGACCACCGGTTCTCGGCGAAGGGTTTTTCTAGTTTGGTCACCCTTCACGGAGTGGACTGTTTGACTCGTGCGTTTTGATTGAAACTGACCATATGAATGTATGTCCCGCGAGCAAGAACGCGCGTGTTTTCCCGCCTTTTGGGCACGTGGGTCTCCGTAAGTAACATCCACAACCAATCACGAGAAAATGAGCATGCAGCCAAGTTGACGAACCAACAACTGAGACGACACTTGCTGACGGTGCTTACAGCAGTCGTCGTGCAAGACAGGCGATGCCAAGGCTAAGGCTAATGCACAGTTTCGCTGGTCGGGCAGCCGGGCACGCAACTTAACACCTCCGGTGGTCGTCAGCTTCATTCTCGCATCGAACAAGAAATTCGCTAAAAGGCCGAACGAGATCCAAAAGTTTGTAGGCACCACATGATCGCGAATCATGATCGGGTCATGACTCTCGGGCACCCAGGGTTTTATCGCGATCATAACGGCATCAGGGTTTTGTCATTGATCGCGATCATGACTGAGTCATGAGCCGATCATGGGTCATGACTTTAAGGTGCCCAGGGTTTTCCATGGCCGTCATAACCCCAGGCATGGCTGGGTAACGACTCGATCATGACCGAGATATGACGCACGACGACCGGATCGTGACTTCATCACGAGATTAACTCATGTCATGACTCGGCCATGAACTACCTGGTGATGGCTAGGGAACTACTTCGAAGTACAATTTCATGACGGAGCCATGACTCGGTCATGGTTAGGCCGCACGTTTAATGCACGCAGGGGTGTGCAAATCCGCCATGCACCTAATAACAGCCCCATGCAGAAAAAAAATGGGTATGTTATTCCAAGTGTCGAACCCCTGCCCCGCCCTACAACCTTCAACCCAACGTGGTGTATTCTATCTATCCCTTCAACCGGCAAACAATCGACTTGCAAACAATGCAAAATTCTGGTGCTCCGAAACATTACCCCGGTATATTATCGTCTGCATTGGTAGCACAGGGGGGCATGAAACCGGCTGACAACCCTAATGCTAACCCTGACCCCATACATACCCGCACAATCGGTGGTGAATAAGTTCTACTTGAAGGCTGTTGTGCCGGCTTGGCGCTATGTAGGTTGGTGTTGATTTTTTTTTTTTAATCTTCACTTCAAATCAGCGCTCACAGCACTAACTAGTGCCGTTTACTCCGACCCGTGGTCACACAGAAGAGTCCCTCTCTACCCTCCCCCCCTGCGGTACTTTGCCTACGATTTTTAATGCGAGAAGAGTTCAGCACTCTCTTCCCTCTGTGTACACACGAACTAGCTCTCTACTTGGCCAGGAGCGGAAGCGAGAGAAAAACTCACTTTGCAAGAACAGCTCGCTTACGCCGGGATTCGAACCCCTGACCTGACCTCTAGAAGGCTTCGCGGATACCAACTAGACCACCGGGGCGACCGGTTATACAATAACTCTGATAGTTGACACATATCTGGTCACGATGGGGTGATGACATGATCGCGTCTCGGTCATGATCCACTCATCGTGACCTGGTCATGAACACGATCACAAATGGCACTGGATCATGAATGACCCGGTCATGATCCGACATCCTGGCCGAAAATTCATGTCAAAGTGAAAAAAAATATATATATAACACGGTCATGATCGGGTCACGAAATCGGGTCATGACCGAAATCATAACTCGTGAAACCGGAAATATTAATTTGGTCATGATTCGTGACCGGGTCATGACCACGATCACGATCTAACCAAATAGAAGTATTTATTACCCGTTGACCCAAGGGGTAAGCAAATAAACCATGCACCTCGTGACCGGATCATGATCCGGTCATGATTGCGATCATGACCGGGTCGTAATCACAATTACGAGCTAACCCGACGATGTTTCCCATTGACCGGTAGGCAAGTAAGACATGCACCCAGACCCTTGAAGAGGGCTTTGAAACCGGCTAAAAACTCTGACGTTCACCTAAACCCACACGATAGGTGCTACGTTGGTGTGCCGACATTGGGTGCTGGGTTGGTGTTCATGGGATAACTTTTAGGTGGGTGGGTGCGCCGGCATAGATAGGCGCTACGTTGGCGGTGATGTCACTAACCTACAGTAGGCCACGCGATAGGTGCTAGGTTGGCGCTGGGTGGATAAGTTCTAGGTTGATGTGCCGGCCTTCGTACTAGTTTGGCGCCGATGCGGAAAAAATCTAGGTTAGCAGTGCTTGGATTAGGTGCCATGTCCCTGACGTAGGTAGGTGCTGGTATAGCAGGATAACCTGGACACACCAAGGTGAAATTGGGCGTTGACCCATCAGCTAGGCTCATATCTTCTTTGGTAGTTCACGACATGTGAGAACGAGAATCCAGGAGGTATTTCCGTGCCGTGTCGTTTACCCCATCAAAAATAAAACGACTAACTGACGATACAATATAGTCTCCGCGAAACCGAAAATATCGTCGCCAGAAAACATAAAAACACCTTTGCCCACAAAGAAAACCCGCATGAACCAGGGAATTATGTTGATGCATGGCATGGCACTAGGGGGTACGTTCACTGACCCCGGAAACACATATTCTAGCTCGATCTGTAAAACAAGTAATTTCGGTTGTGCGTAAGCTGTAAAGTAGCTGCAGTCAAGCCTTAAGATGCGAGTCTCCTGAGAGTCTAGAGCACGAGCAAACGCGTGGTGTCCATAATGAAAACACAGCCAGGATCATGTGAATTAAGTCGCGGGCGACGCTGCTGTGCCCGCTGTCTTGCGTGCGTCCATCTCCATCATGGAAGGCTACAGAAAAAAGCAACCGATGGCAGGGACAATGAGTTGTTCAAGCGACGACAGGCGACGACCCGACGGTCCAGGGTCCAGCCTGCACATAGCACGGTCCGGTGTTGATGGTACGTGCAAGCATCTGGGTATCTGGCCGCAAGTACTGCGGAGAGTCTTCCCACCGAGCGCCTCGGCATGGAAGACTCTCGTCGAGCTTCATCTCCATTTCACGGAAACAAAAATCACTGCTGCATACCTGCCTCCAGCCAACCAAGTCGCCGGAGCTGTGTCTCGCTTACCTGAATGGAGCACAGTCTCTCCGAAGGCACCCCTGCGACATCGGCATCTTTGCCAGCAAGAATCACCCGAGCCCCTGCGAGAGGTTTGTTGTTGTGATCGGAGTGTTTTGCTCTTGTCGTTGGTTGTTGTTGTCTTCACATGACAACCCTCCGTTCCAATCTCCGCCTCGTGAGTTCCCCCTACTGAGGCACACATCACGTTCCAACTGACGCGGACTCGCGGCCTGGTCACAGACTAACTCCCACTAAAGGACAAACTCCCGAAAAATCGCGGGAACAACTAAAAGTTTGCACCAACAAATAGGTGGGTCAAGAGAATGAGAATTGGTATTGGTAGTCAAGCGTGACCGACCCAGTAGACCGTAGCTCCTTGACTCCCTGCACGGTACGGGGCACACAAGGATAACTTCGATCGGAAGGTACTGCCTGCACCAACCACACAAATGTTTGTTTTCTCGCACAGGGTTATTGCGATGATGCGTAATAACGCCCGACAAAATTCATGTTCATGAAACGGCCGGCTTAGTCTTACCGGTCCGGGCACCGATGGCCTTGATGGTCTCCCCACCTCGCCCGATGATCAGTCCACCTAGCGTGAAGCGCAAGAGCCAAGTTAGAACTAAATAGCGCAGCGGAGATGCGACAAACGCCAAACACACGAGTGAAGGCAACAGCAACTGTTGCCCGCAGGCGCGGGAAGTCAAGGAGTAAAGTTACTCAACACTCGCCAGCGAAACGAACATTGAGCATGCACCGTTAACGGAGAAATTACTGGGCATGCGGGTTCGCAAAAAGGTCTCCAAAGACGGGTAGACAAAAGCAGGATACCGGGTTTTTAGGCGGATACAGGCGGGGCGGTACTTCAATGTGGCGGTACTCTTTTCGGCGGATCCCGGTACTTCGTTTTCCGGCGGTACCGCCTTTGGCGGTTCCCGGTACTGCCAAATATGGCGGTATTTTTCTGGCGGTACTGAAATATGGCGGTACAGCCTTCGGCGGTCCCGGTATCACCAAAATATGGCGGTATTTTTCTGGCGGTACTGAAATACGGCGGTACCACCTTCGGCGGTCGCGGGAAGACCAGAATATCGAACAAAATAGAAAATATGTAGACATGCGTAATACCAAAGCGAAGAAAGATGAAAAAAAGGTAGGCCAGCTGGACTCGACCCACCGCTGTACGCATACCGTCGTCCACAGTGTACTCCACTAGATTGCATATCTCCCAGGTGCGACGGGAACCTCACACGAGTCGGGCGACATGGCGGTACTATTTTGGCGGTATTGCATGCAGTACGGCGGTACGTTTACGGCGGTACTGCAATATTGCGGTTCTTTTTAGGCGGTTCCCGGTACTTCGTTTTTTGGCGGTACTTTTTAGGCGGTCATGCGATATGGGGGTACTTTTTAGGCGGTTCCCGCAACTTTGTTTTTCGGTGGTACCGCCTTCGGCGGTTCCCGGTACCACCGAAAAGTGGCGGTAATTACCGCCAGTACCGGGACCGCCCACCACGGCGGGAAAAAACGCCGGGAATTTTCCCGAGGTGTACCCTGGAAAAAAGTAACAAAATCGTTTACTAAAACTTATCTTCTATGAAGGAGGGCATTCTACGCGAGATTGTCCTTGGCATTCTTTACATTCTTCACGCCCATGTGAAAGTCGACTACACTAAAGTATGCCCACGTCAGCCGTCGGGCGCTGTTGCAGTCGGTGCAATGAGTGGCCCAAACACTTACCTGTTCCGTGCTCGGCACCGCAACCAGCGCGGCTTCAGCTTCAAAAGCAGCGCGGCAGCACAACAACTCAGAAGAAGGCCCGTTGAACTACTCCCAAAGAGAACCACAAACACGCCGGCATTCATGGGCGGGACAGGCACAGCAACTCAGAAGGCCCGTTGAGACTACTCCCAAAGAGAACCACAAATACCCCGGCATTCATGGACGGGACAGGCACAGCAACTCAGAAGGCCCGTTGAGACTACTCCCAAAGAGAACCACAAATACCCCGGCATTCATGGACGGGACAGGCACAGCAAAGCACGCCGTGAGCACGTAGCCCAAGGAAGGGTGATAGGACAGGATAGGGGCTGGGAGGCTCGGCTTTCACCTGCGGCCAGGGGCACCAGGAGCCTGATCGTGACCTGGGCGTCCCTCCCGTGGGGCCCGTCTAGCCCCCCGCTGCCGTACCCTTCGTGCACGGTGGAGTACGGAACTCCCCCGCCCATGAACGGCGCTTGCGGGGTCGGCCTAGCAGCCTGGGTTGACGAGGTTAGCATGGCATGGAATAAAGCGTGGGGTAGGCGACCGGTCAGGAGAGGAGGGGGTCAGGAAGAGAGCTGCTGGATAGTGACAGCGATGCCCGCCACAAACGAGAGACGAGGGGGGGGGGTGCAAGAGAACGGGCACATCAGTGAGTGAAAAGGTGGTGCGCGGTCGCGCCATCAAGTAGAAAAACACCCCGTTGCTAAGCATTTTACAGAGAAACAGGCCTGTTTTCTGTGTACCTCCCCCGCCGCTCTTCTTCGAGTAGAGCCGGAGTCACTTTGTCATGCTCGCTCCTGCGGCACGATAGCGACACGAAGAAAGGCGGAGGGTTGACAAACAGGCAGACACGACGCACCTCTCTGAGCCGGCGGAGCATCTCCGCGACGGCCTCTGCCACCAGGGTGGGCTGCTCCCCCTGCACGAGGGCGACGCGGTCGTGCGTCCCCGGGAAGAACTCGTTCTTTTGCGACAGCTTCACACGAGTGTTGGTGTTCGTCTGGATCTGGTTGATGATCTTGCCTCCCTACGCGCGTAGCGCGGCCGCATGACAAGTAACGAGGATGGTAGGTGCACGCGGTTGGAGGGACCAAGAACAGGTGGGCGGGAAGGCGGACAGCAGATGAAATCGCAGACCATGGAGACAGAAAAACTCAGGTGAGCAATCGATCTCCAGTCGCTGATGAAACCCTGCTTAGACGGAGTCAATCAGCCCACAGGTGGGACAAAACATGGACCTCCCTTGTGATAAAGGGTACTCTTCGATGCTTGGAAGCATACGTTGTAGCATAGGATGTCTGGTTAAGGGATCCAGAAGTGAAATCACGAAATGAGTCACAAGGTTGCGGGTGAACTTCGCGACGCCTCGTCGCGGGAGAGGAGAGGACAGCAACGCCACTTCAAGGCCATCGCTAGCATGCCATCTTTGGTTCTGACAGACAGCATCGGATTCTTCATGTCCAGTTGGTCTTCAACACCTTGAGAGACACAAGCACGACGAATAGACTTAGGAACAATGTAGAGATATAACGTGGTAGCCCAGTCTAGCTGCGGAAGAGGAGAGGAGGGAGACGGTGACTGTGCTGCATGCTCCAGCTCCCCCTCTTTTCCAAAGGACAGGCCGACCAAGAGATGGATGCCACTGACGCGTCAAGAAGCATGCGACAAGCACACCATGGCTCGCGCATACGACAAGCAAGCGATACGACAACATAGCCATGGCTCGCGCGAGCAAAAAACACAAGGCAGGGTTGTAGGCAGGCAGGAGAAGGAAGCTGAAGCTTACCTTTCCGATGAGGCAGCCCGCAGTGATACCCGGCACAAGGACCTTGAGTGCGAACTTGGGCTGGGGCTCCCGCTCCCTCTCTTCTCTGTCTTCGTCGCCCTGCGGACCCCACAGCCCGTACAACGGACGACACGAAGACACGAAAGGTTTCTATGCGGCGGATAACTTAACTGCATCCCGGGAATTTTCGTGCGCGCTGCGTCTACAGGAAGTAAGAGACGGTAGGGGGGTCAACATGACTTGGGATTGAATGTGCGAGGGGCCGGCGACACAAATCAGGTGCGGATAACAACTTGAGGTCGCGCTGGTGACGGAAAAGGCATAACTGACTCACTTCACTTCGCATGTGGGGAGGATGGTCGAACGCGCACGCAGCTCAGCATCAAAAGCCTAGCCTCCTCCTACCCTCCGAGTACGCAAGCACAAGGTTTCTTTCACACATAGGCGACATGAAAGTGTTTGAAACGGCCATCAGTGTGTTGCGCGTCCAGGTTTCACCACCGAGAGCAAATCAAGGAAAACGTCCCAGTGAACATAATTGCCTCGAGCACGCTCCCAACAGCCAGGGGGCGAGTAACGAGTAGCTTTACGCGTGAACGGCACATGGAAGGGGTGGATTGATCGATCCCAAACGAACCTGCGACCAGTCCTGTTTTTCCTCGCCGTCACCGCCGCTGAGGAGATGGTCGTGCCCTTCCTCCTCATCTCCCCCTTCGTGAGGATCTGCTAAGTGCATCCTCGCCGTTGCTTCCGCGAGACTACCGCAAACGTCCCCTCCTCCTGCGGAGCCCCCTCCCTGCTGCATCCCCTCGACCGTCGTAACGGCGCCGTCTACAGGAGACCCGACGCCTCCCACCTCCACACTCCGCTTGACCCACACGGTGTCACCATCTTGGACACCCACTCCTTCCTTGTTGGCGAATCCGCGCCCCCCCCCCTCCAGTTGTGGCGGCATCGCTCTTCTCGCGGTTGCGGCCTGCGGCGGGATGCTTGGTTCTGGATTGGCGACCGTAGACCTCGGTTCGACTACCGTGCGTTGTGTTCGCGCGAGGGCGGAAGAAGGGAAGAGGGGAAGAAATATGGTGTCATGTGCATAATTTTCTCCACGACGGTCAGAAGTGGAAGTACCTCGAAGGCACACGTTCGGATGATGACAGGCGTTACAGGCAGTACAGGACTTACAAGTAGACGGGTTGGCTGCGTCAGTCGCGGCACCAGAGGATCAGACGAGATCAGTCGCATATTGCCATCCAAGATTCCAAAGGGAATCAGGGTGCCGGCCGAAACGCGACCGGAAAAATACCAGAGAAATTTGTGGTGTGTCTTGAAAAAAGGTTGGCTGCACGGGCCGTCGCCATTTCACACCGTCCTCTCTTCACAACGAGCGGCGGGTGTAAAGCGTTCTTGTTTTCAAGTGTGCGGCAGTCAGGCGGTTGTACAGAAACCCTTTTCACACTGTATTTTGGGGGATGAACCGCGAGGATCAGGCCGACAAGCTACCCCCCTCGGTTTTCTTGCCTCTTACATACTCGCGAAAAGCCGACACGACATCATCATCAGGTACGGTCCAGCCGGCTACTATTGTAGTGAGGTCTGGTTAGTCGCGACAATAAAAATAAAAATCTGTCACTTCCCCAAGGAGCCCAGGAACTGGGCGGAGAACAGCAGACAGACGGTCGGCCCGAACCCCAACTACGAAAAAGATATTCTGTTTTTCCCAATTCGATTTCAAGCAGTGCATAGAAGGCTGTTCGTGGCCCGACTCCCTCTGAGTAACCAAGGCGCTGTCGAAAGCGCGGCAAATCACAATTTCCAAAAGAGAGCTCGCTCGCGTTCCGCGGCGCTGATTGGCACACTCGGATGTGTGCCGTAGCGTGGCACCGGACTGGTGGTATGCCTGACGGAGTCTCCTAAGGCGTGTACTACTGGTGTCATCGTGTCTTTGGTTTTGGTCCGTCCCACCTTCAAGTACAAAACACTCGAGCGGATAAGGGGTTAAGTTTTTGATGTTTCTGCAAAAGAAAAACAATATGCAAGGGATCACAGAACGACAACCGCCGAGGAAGGGCTGAGTAGGATAGTACAATGACGTGGGCCGGCCACACGTGTCCACTTGGAGTGTGTTGTGCTCTAATAGTCGAATTGATGCTCGAATGACCGGCCAGTTTCGCGCTCCTGTCACACAGCAGTGCACAACACGCCCCTCTGCCGTGCTTTCGTACCCCTCCCTTCCCTTTTGGCAGAGCGTGGTGAGATCATCCGCGTAGCGAACCCCGCGTAGGAACGATCCCTAATCCTTAGTGAGACGTGGTCCAGTCTACTTAGTCCGTCGCTTGCTCTCACCCACCTCTGCTGTGTACTTTAGTAAACCTTTAAGCTCTTCTGATTTTGAACATGTATATGCAAGTCGCCTAAACGTGCGTCACTTCAAAAGCGAATTCTTCCAAGAGGACTGCTTGTTGCTTTTTCCTTCCGGCTGCGGTTCGTTTTCCCGCCAAGTGGTTTTCATCTTTCTCTATGATTGCATCGTTTTTTTTTATGGGTTAAAGTATTCATGGTGTGCACGGGCTTCGACGGCTTCCCCCCGATGTCTGGCGAAACGATTCCACATGTTGCTTGTTTCTCGGAAAAGGTTCCACGCGGATGAGTCAAGGAAGACTATATATTCCAAGACAGGATCGATATGTGGTGTGTGCGTAGGGAGGGGAAACTTTGATAGTTTCGGCGACGACGCGTAGAGACGAAGTGTAGAGTGACGCGAGGAAAGCTTTTTCCGGCTGAGTCGGTTGGCGCTGTGACGGGGAACCCGGAGCGTGAAAAATACGTGTATGCATATGGCGG